AAAAAAAAAAAAAAATTACACAGGAAAACTTTGTGTCCCTACCTTGCTTCCAAGATACTTTCTCTGTAGCCAAATTTTTTACTTCATATATTATATGCCAAGGTCAGTGTGAAAAATATTTCATAAGGCATTATTTTTGGCAAATATATTCAGAAAAACAGGAATTCCACTAATGTCCACTGAAACAGTAATTAAGGAAGACATTCCAGAGAATTCCTGGCTTGTATGTAGCTTATTAATTATATAACATTATTTGTATATTCCCAGTCTTAGTGTTTTGTGACTTTTCATTCATTAAGGCAAACATACTGCCCACACACCTCCAAGAACTCAAAGTTGTGGGCCACTCATGACCAGCCGGAGGGACAGCATTCGTATCAGCTGAGAGCGTTCAGGGGGATTTGGATGAACATGCACTAAATCATTTGCCTTTGTGGCCATTTAAGAGTCTTGGTCTAGCTGTCTTATGCATGCATGGCGACAGAAATCCATAGAACATGATGAGCCTGCTCCATCACCTCACCTCACCTATGTCAGATCAATGTGCTGAACTTCATTGAATCACTTACTGAATTTCAACAAGTAATCTAAACCTTTGATTTTCTTAAGAACTCATGCCTCTACCTGTACTTTCACATTTATTTGATAATACATATTAAGTGTCTAAGGATATAAGCTTTGGGGAGTAACTGCCTGGATATGAATTCTGGTGGCACTGCTTCCTGTAACATTGGCCACTCTACACAAGTATAGAAGGACATACTACAGAAGGCACTTATTAGAACTATTAGAACCCAATGGAGAAAAGCCCAGCCATTGTGGCTGTCATATGCCTTATAATCAGAAAGCTGAAACAGGAGGCTACATAAATCTAGGAGTCTAAGATCAGCCTCGGCAACATAGCGAGACCTTATCTCAAAGAACGAAGAGGAAGAAGGCAAAGGGACAGAGAAGGAAAACCCACTGCTATCTTTTATATAAAGACCCTTATGTTCATTGGGAAACAAATGTCCTGATTTCTCATTGTTTCAGTTTGCTTATCTAGCATATAGAGATGGTGATAATACTAGTCTCCTGTGCTTGGTTTCTGGAGTGATGGAGAAGTCAGTGCATGCAGGCACCAAGGGCTGGGCTTCATACATGCAGGTGCTCAATGATTGTTTTTCTTGTAGGTCTTACCCTGATGAAATTGGACCAAAACACTGGCCAAGCTCCCGGTTTGCTCATGTCATGAAACTGCGACAGGCAGCCCTTCGAACTGCGAGGGAAAAATGGTCAGACTACATTCTGGTAAAAACAGATGCTTGATTCCTTGACAACTGTTTCAAAGTTGTATCTACAACCAAGAAGTGAACAGGGAAACAAGGAACAGGGAAAACAAGCTTTTGTATAGGCCTCATCATCTCCATGAAAGGTTCAAGGGAAAATTTTTGTAATTAAATATTATACTATCTGGACTTCATCTCAGATCCCCCTCCTTGGAATGGTTGGTTTTTTGTTTTTGTTTTTGTTTTCAGTGAGTGGTGTGGATGGTGAGGCTTCTGAACTACTTGTTTCACATCACAGGCATAAGAAACTGAATCGTTTTAGTAGGTGAAGCAAGATTAAATGTCTCAAAGGCTTTTGTAAGAACTTTAAAGACATAAGAAAATGATTATATAATGCAATTGCAATCAGAACACTGGAAACTGTTCCTTTTTATCCCCTGGGTGATGTGGGAAATGGAAGCTCCTATTGGTCTCCCTGGACACTGCCTGGCTCTCGTGCAGACTTTCTCTCTTTGAGGAGGTTCCCTTACAGACCCCGAGAGCTTGCGGAATGGTTCAGACAAATGAGGGGCCTGGCGATTAGAGTCCATGCGGCCTCCTGCTCAATGACGCCCCTCAGCTGGAGAGGATGTCTGCTGCCTAAGGAGGAAGAAGCCACCATGCCCTTTCCCAGAAGCTTCTTCTACATGAGTTTATTGAGCAGATGTTTTCCACTGTGACACTAGAAATGGTGCCAATATTAACATACTATACTCACAGGCGTCTGATTTCCCTGGCCCCTGATTCTAATCTATGCTATAACTGCTTCTAACCTGTGCTCCTTCCCGGCCCCTTGACCACTCAGGAAATCAGCTGGTAATGATAGAGACATTGTCAACACATGTAGCCTCATAGAAAGGTTAAAACTGTACTGTGATGTGTGATGTTATATGCAACTAGTAAAGGGTTAGTAAAAATCTGCAAATTCCAAAGTATACAGTTTTACATAAGTCAATTGACTGACATGTTTCTGATTATGTGTAGATTGTAATTACATGAAAATATAAAAATCTGTTGGTTTTGGCCTCATTCAAACAAACATTTCTCTTTGATAGGCTCTGATTCTATCTCTGTAAATGAATCAGTGCTGACATGAACTTCTCTGCTGAGAAGCATAATACTTGGTTAGCAATTTAAACAAAATTTTAGACATTGCAGTAGCACGGGTCCATTTTGCCAATACTGTTGAAACCCAAATAGGTCTACTGATGGGTACTGAGAGTGGGCACTAAGGATGTGTTTGCACGGGCCTGTAGGAGCTTAGCAACCATTGGCATCTTGAGCTTCAATCATTTACCAGTGTGTAAGCTGTGTTGTGTTGATTTCCTGTGTACTCACTGTGGCAACACCAGCTCACAGCTTAGAGCTGAACACGGGACCTTAGACTGAATGCATCTGACTGACTGAAAGCTTCCTGGCTGCACTGGCTCTCACTAAGGAGGGTGAAAATAAGAACCGGCCCCAGATTTCATGGCCCTTTAGATGTGCCAAGTTACTGAACCCTCTACTGAGACGTACCTTTCCCCTGACCTTGTCCTTGTCTTTTCCTAGTTCATAGATGTCGACAACTTCCTGACTAACCCTCAGACCCTGAACCTAATGATTGCAGAAAACAGAACCATTGTGTCACCCATGCTGGAGTCCCGGGGCCTGTACTCTAACTTCTGGTGTGGAATCACACCTCAGGCAAGTCTTTTGATTAACTAATCGAGGATATGACTGTTCACAAGATGGGACCATGTCAGTAGTAGCTCCCCGCCCACAGAGATAGGTGTGTCACAATTTCACTGAATCAAACACTGTCAATGAAGGAGGTAAGTCCACATCAAATGTCACAACTCAGTGGGCATTAACAGCAACAAAATATTCTAAAGAGCTAAGCTGTAGAAGCTTCAATTAACCAAGAGTTTGCTTCCCTTTTATCCATTTCAGGTATTAATTAATTCTTTTACCTTTAAAATATCAATATCAGAGCACATTAGAAAAACCTAGAAGTACAAAAAAAGTGTTTAAAAAAAGTGTAACGGCCAAAAATATACCAACATTGATAGACCCTTGCCATTTTTTTTATGACTGAGTCGCCACCAATGGCTATCTGTAATTTATTTAAACTTCTTACTTTGAACACGTAAGTTGTTTGCGACCATTTTAACGGTTATAATTACCGTCATCATTGCTGCGAAATTTTTTGCATCTGTCTATGATTTCCTTGGGACATGTCTTACTTAGTTACTGTTCTGTTGCTATGGGGAGACACCACGACCAAGGCAACTTTTAAAAGAAAGCGTTTAACTAAGGATTCACGTGCAGTTTCAAAGCGCTAGTCCATGATTATCGTAGTGTGAAGCAACGTGGTGCTGACACAGTACGAGATCATGCAGGGTCCATGTGTTGAAAGCAGAGATGCAGGGCTTGGGGTGTGGTGGGGGTGAAGACTGGGCTTGGTTTGGGCTTTTGAAACCTCAAAGTCCATCCCCAGGGACACACCTCCTCCAGCAAGGCCACACCTCTCAGTCCTTCCCAAACAGCTCCCCTAAGGGGACCACACATTTAAACATGAGCTTATGGAGGACATTCTTATGCAAACCACCATAGAAGTGTAATCAAGGCATCAAAATGTATTCTGATGATCTTTAATATACATCAACAAATTTATTTCCATAGATTTCCAATGATTGAAACTAATAAAGAAGCTTACTTTTCAAAAATTGAAGTTAAAAAAAATGTGAATTTCTATCACTTCTTTTTCTGTAGTAAAATCTTAAATTTTAGATATCTCTCACAGTAAATGTCAGTGAAGGTTTTGTTTCAATTCTTAGTGAATTAGAAAGACAAATTAAATTGACCTGTATAATATATCCATATAAGACAAAAATGTAATAAAGGGGAAATATGTTCTGATGTTCTAAATTTTGCCCCTTTTTATGTTTGGTTTGGCTTTAGATGCGGAATGAGGTCAGTGTATGATGGATACTTAATAACTTGTTTCAGACAGAACCCTAATTGGCAGCATGTTCTAATTTTTTGTTTGCTTGTTTTTGCTTTTGTTTTTTCAAGACACACGGTATTTTCCTGTGTAGCCTTGGCTGTCCTGTACTTGCTTATACAGACTGGCCTTGAACTCACAGAGATTTCTTCTGCCTCTGCCTCCTGAGTGCTGGGATTACAGGCATGTACTACCATGCCTGGCTCATGTGTTCTGATTTTTATAATGTAAATACTTTCATACAAAGAACTGCAATATAGCCACTTAATGATATGGTTATTTAAAATACATAGTAAGGCAGGCATGGTGACCCAGTATTCGGAGGCAGAAGACAGGAGGATGAAGAGTTCTCGAGTATGGGGCTGGGGAAATGGCTCTGTGTTTCCTGTATGTGCATGAGGACCTGCCCATGTAAAAATCGGGCCTGGCCACATGTGGGCCTATAACTCCAGTGCTATTGGGAGTGAAGACAGTAGGATCTCTGCAGAATGCAGGTTTCCAGTCCAACTCCAGGATCATTATGATAACCTGCCTTAAAAGAATAAAAAGGAGAATTATTAAGCATGCTACCTGTTAGAAAAAGTATTGGCAAAGGACCCTCAAAACAAAATTCTCAGCACCAACAAGATTTATTTGCCCCACAGGGACAGAGGAAAGGGAATAAAAGACAAAAGACAGGAGGTAGAGGATGAGGGAGAAGGAGAAGGGAACAAGGGAGAGGAGGGAGGGTTATTTGTCCTGGAGGACAAAGGACTGACTTTGGATAGAGAGGAGATAAACCTGGGACATAGGAAAATAGCAGTTTATAAGGTACACTCAAAACTCTGTATCAGGATGAGGTGCTCGGTTTCAATTGGGCATATTAATTAGGTGAACCAAAGGGAGCTTTTGATTGCTGGACTGCAATACTTTGATAGCTGGATGTTGGTAGTCATCCTCAGGAGGAGAATGTAGCCAAATAAGAGAACAGACTATCATGGCTAGCTTTAGGAATGTAATCTAATGTTTTTGTTCTGTTCTGTTTTGTTTTGTTTTTTTAATCAAGGCAGATGGAAAGGGGGAGAAGGGCAAGACCTGCCAGAGCCATGCTCGCCACACTTGAGCTGGCCAGAATCCCTTCAATACCTATGTCCTCCTGCTCTCCATGTGCGTTCATGGGTGCATACACGTCTCCAAACAACATGTGTACACACCATCCACATGTACACCATACACATACACAGACACATGTTGTGTGACAAGACTTTTCCTAGGAGATACTACACACACCCAAGATAGGGGGCAAAGGCTCAACTTGGTGTGCCATAAGTTTTTCTGGGATTTCCTACAGGAATATGAACAAGGGGTTAGGTATAGGAGCAAAAATGACTCAAACACAGCTGCATCACCAAAGCCCCATCCAGCACGGGTGACAGTGCACAGAAGCTGGAAACCTGGAGCACACTGCACAGCCTTCAGGCAGCTCAACAGGTTGCAGAGTGTCCCTTTCCAGTGACTCAGTTGGTCCAGCCCTCTTCTGGGCAGCTTTGTGTGGAGTTGGGGGGTATTCTGCTTCTCCCAGAAAGCTTCTTTGGTCTCAGAATTTTCTTTACAGCTTGTCTTGTCTGAGAATGACTTCTAGCAGCTTTATTACTTTCTCTGGCATTAAAGGGCATAGTGAATCTGATCAGTTTCAGGGACTTCCTGATGCTATTTTGAGTTGTTTATTGTCCTGCTTAAGAAGCTTCCCTGCAAGATAGAATATTTCAAACACAGGGGAACCTGATATATAACATAGAATGAGAGAGAAAGAAGCAGAGAGGAGTTCAAAACCATTTGATGCACAATGGTGCATGCTTATAATCCCAGTAACTCACCATCATCCTCAACTATATAAGGAAGTCAGAGCATAAGCTACAGGAAATCTTGTCCCAAACAATCAGAACAAAAACAGAAAACAAGAGTTCAAGGCTAGTTTAAGCTACGTTTTAAGACCTTGGCTCAAAAACCAAGAAGTTCTCACCAGAAAGGTAAGCGTTAACATGACTTTTGCTTTTACACATTTTAATCTGCCAGCATCTCAGATGGCTGGTAAAACTCCTGAAAACGTAATAATCAGTGGCTCCAACACGACACTAAACCAGGAATTCCCCTTTTGTTGTGATCACATTTCTTGGTCTAAGAAATTTTGAATAATTCTTACCATCCACACGTCTTTGAGGGAGGCCACAAGGTGATACGTAAAAAGTTCAGTCCGATCAATGAGCAGGCCAATCAGATTATGTCAGAGGCAGTCCCTCTTCCCATTACTATGTAACCCACTTGGACACTAAACTGCCATGGGCTACATCTGTGCAGGGGTTCTAGGTTATCTCCACGAATAGTCCTTGGTTGGAGTATGAGTCTCTGGGAAGTTCCCTGTGTTCAAATTATCTTGTTCTGTTGCTCTCCTTGCTCGTTGATCACCTCCCCCTGAGGGGGGAGCAGCCTTACCAGGCCACAGTAGAGGACAATGCAGCCACTTTTGATGAGAACTGACAGACTAAGATCAGAAAGGAGAGGAGGACCTCCCCTATCAGTGGACTTGGGGAGTGGCATGCATGCAGAAAGGGGAGGGAGGGTGGGATCGGGAGGGGAGGAGGGAGGGGCTTATGGGGGGATACAAAATGAATAAAGTGTAATTAATAAAAAATTTAAAAAAAAAGTTCAGTTCGTTTCTTCGGAGAAAACATTATATTAAGTTAGCATAAACTCTCCATTAACCATCTGCGACATTCCACATGGCAGGGCCACCTGAGGCTTGTTTTTTTAGTGAGTTCTGCTTTGCCACCAGCAGCAGGGGTGGAAGGAGGTTTTCCCAAGGACAGCAGTCTCCAAGGTCCCTTTAGTCCCTTATTAAAAGGAAGTATGAGAAATTTGCTCACTTATTTTACAGAGAAAAACTCAATTCTGTGCAACTTGGGCCAATTATAATGTCCTCATCTCTTTTTGGCTTTCTTCCACCTTAGTCCATTTTCAACTTGGACAGGAACGGAAATGGCCAATGACTTCATAAGCTCAAGGCAGCCCTACTTTTTAGTGCCTTTAAACACATCCAAAACAAAACAAAGTTGGTATCGCCTAGCTAATGAACAGGGTTTATTATCAACAAACTTTAGTTCTTTAGAAAGAATGATACAATTATCATGTCCACCTCTCTTTGAGAAGCATGTTAATTCTTTTTTTTCCTCTCTGCTTCTTTTCCTACCATCCTCTCTCCAACACCAAATGACTCATCGCTCTCCTAAGTTTTCCAAGTTCTCATCCTGAGACTATTACTCCTGTCAGTACTGACTTGAGTCTGTAGGGAGACCTTTGAAGAACCAATGTCCTCATTGTCCCTTAAAGAACTCTCACAGGCTGAAGCATAAGGGAAAGCCATGCTCTAACATCAAGGAAGTAGCAGGTAGTTAGGCTTATTGTAAGACTCAGATCTTCCAAGTCTCTGTTTGTGGTCCTTTCTTATCCTATGGGACGTTAGGGTTAGTAGCTCAGCTATAACTATTCTATACACTGAAAGGTTTGACTCGGAAGTAGAAGAGGCAGTGCCTGGTGTGTGGTGCCAACATCACAACCAGAAACATACCGCAAAAGAACAGGAGTACTTAAAGAATGCATAAAAACTTGTGTATTCAGTGAGCACTGTGGGCTTCAGTGTTAGTCCTGTAAAACTTCGCAGTCCTCCTGCTGAGCCTGCATCTCTCACAGGGTTTTTAAAAGCCTTTCAAAGCTTCTCCATGTTTTAAAGTCTACTTTTGTGAGATATACTGTCACTCTTTCTGGAATATTTTCATGGACCTTATGACTGGTCTACTGCTGGAGCAGAGGTTCCTCACAAGCTTCTACACCCCACATGGGATAAACCTGTTTCATCTCACTTATCAATTCTCTGTCACTTGTCTGAATGCCCTAGATCGCAGCATGTGCTCCATGGGTATTTGTTGAAAGAATAGTTAAGTTTGGATGGAAAACAAATTGAGTCACGCCAGAGTTGTTGAAAAGCACAAAGTGAGAGGGTGGGTTGTCTTGTGTTCTCACACAGGAGGAAGAGTGTAAGGCTGTGGTGTGGGGATCCCCAAAAAGTGTGGAGCGCTGAAAAAAAAAGACCTGGATGTATATGTGGAAAACGTTAGCCAGGTGTAACACGGTCATTTCACTGCTAGCCAATACCAGCTGATGCTTTCTTGATGCTAGACATTATTCTAAGCACTTCATAGTTTTACCTTACTTAGTTATATTTTTTAAAAAATCTCTAGGGTGGATAATGTTGTCTGTGCCTGTTTCAGAGCTGAGGAAAGAGGCAGAGCAAGGTTGAGTCAGGTGAGACACCTATAAACAATAAGGAGCTGAGGTTAAGGCTTGAACTCAGAGGCTCTGGACCAGAACATATGTTCGTACTTGTCTGTTCTGCCCTCTCTTTGTGTTAATATTAATCTTTCATGTTTACTCATAAGCCAGCATCTACTACACTTTGTGAAATCATTGAGCCAACAGAAATGAAATAAAAACGGTTCCTGATATTGAAATCCCTTTGTGTCTTAAACGCAGATTCATTTCTTGAGCTCGGTTAGAAATTTTTAGTTCAGGGTAGAAAGAGTAGAGACACTCTGGAGCTTTCTGTTGACCTGTGATAGCTTAGAGGGCCAATGACTGGACGATGATGCTTTCAGATGAGAGGACACAGCCCATCTACTTGCTCTTTTCCAGGGCTTCTATAAGCGGACCCCAGACTACCTTCAGATCAGAGAATGGAAGAGAATGGGCTGTTTCCCCGTCCCCATGGTCCACTCCACCTTCCTGGTTGACCTCAGAAAAGAGGCCTCTGACAAGCTGGCTTTCTACCCCCCACACCAGGACTACACCTGGACCTTTGATGACATCATCGTTTTTGCCTTCTCCAGCAGACAAGCAGGTACTGTTTGTGCTTGGCTGCAGGCTGCCATGGAAACACTGCAACAAAAGACATGCTCCTTTGTCCTATGCAAATTTAAAAACACACTTATCTCAATTTCAAGTCTCAGGGACAATGAATTGCTTGTATTAACCATGCCAGAATCCTATGTGTCACTGTCCCTGGCACCAAAGATAAAGAACCAGGGCTGACACGCACACAGAACTCCATTCCCTTTTGGGAAAGATCTGAGTTGATGGGGAGACAGTGATAATGAGAGTCTTTGAAAATCTCATTGACTCTCTAGAGCTAATGGTATTTCTATTGCTAATTACAAGAATCCAATTATTAAATTGGAGCCTAGAACAAGACTGGTAAAGTCTCCAGGCTTCACAAATAGAGCTATTACTTCCCAAAAATAATCTGTGATGCTGTTGTGGCTCTGTCCCATAATTCTAAGCAACCCAGATTCCTTCTGCATTGTCTTTCCATAATTCAAGAGGAATTACCCTTAAGTGTAAGATTGAAGATACTTCACCGCCAAGGACACACCATCCACTGAGGCAGAAACTAGACTATACAACTCTGCCTCTATCAGAGTAGAGGCTGGAAGTTGAACATAGCAATTCTATGCATGTTCCTTTATCCAGAACTTAGTAAGAGGTCGCTTCCTAAAGGGGAGGTATGCTCACAATGTCATCTTTATTCTGTGTGGTTATAAGCCCTAACTCTCTCACTCTTGAGAACAGCTATAAGAGAAGTCGGTGGTCTCAGCGCCCACCTCTGTGGACAGAGAGGCAAAGCCAGGTTTTAGTACCTTGTGAGTCACTAGGAAAGCATTACCTCTGGATTTTGTCGGCTTCTTGACAAAGCCACATCAATAGGAAGGAAAGGTGTTTTGGTTTGTTTCGATTTTCCTTTTTTCTCTTTTTCTTTCCTCCCATTCCTTCAGAGAGGACTAATTCACAGAAACAGGTCAAGAAGCTTCATGACTCTACTAAGACGAAGCCCTCTTAAGTACCTCAGGTCTTCCTGACAGCAACAAGGGCCTATTAACAATGCATCGTTTAGACTCTAACAAAATGAGTTTAGAAACCAAGAAGATGGTGAAATAAACTCATGAGGCTACCTAAGTTAGGGTAAAAATGACTTTGCAAGGATTACTGACAACTGGGGAGACTGCTGGAAGATGAGAATGTCAGTTAATACCACACACGTCAAGCCATAGACGCCCCACTCACTGGCGTACATTTGAAAAGTAGGAGAATATTCTGAAGAAATGGTAAGGCTGGTTTTCCTGTTTGGTAGAATAATTTAGTCTGTTTGGCCAGACAAAGGCATTTAGAGGTCTTATGTTAAGGAAAGGACAGGCCGTCCTCGTATGGTCTGGGAGCTTGCACGAAGGTCCTTGTGTCCATATTCACTGACACTGCTTCTTTGTGTGTGATTTGCTGTGACCTCTCCAGGGCCAAAAACAGAGGCAGGGCCTTTCTGTTCCAGCAAGCTCTGCCAAGCCTTTGCTTCAGAGTTTGAAACAAGGATGTTTTAAGAAGGTGAGCTGTTAATGATTATGGGACTGCTCAGTGCCTAGCAGAGATCTCCTCTGCAGACAATTGCACAAGGCATCGTTGTGACCCAGGAATTAAATGCTGATGTATCCATCTTAAACTAACACATGGGTGTTAGCCATGGAGGATGGCTTCCAGCTATACTGGAACTTTTCATCTTTGCTGTTTGTAAGGCCTGGTCACCAGGAATTTATTCATTCTTTTGTCAGGCTTCCCAGACATCTTTGTGGGATATTAAAAGCAGATATGGATGCCCAAAGCTGTTGGCAAATCATCTGAAGGAAACAAGAGGTGGAAAGGGAAAGAGGCCCTAAAATTATACCCAGCATTGTGTTAGAGTTTATATTTGCTGGGGAGTTCAGATCCTTAGCTGTGGAAACATTACTAAGGTTTTGACAGCTATGAACACTGAGGGCCAGATTACTGGTATTGACTACGAACAGAGCAAGACAGAATTTCTAAAGGCCACAGCCTGGCAGCTGTGTGTTGTAAGGCCATCTTTCATTGATGTTTTCAGAGAAGTCTAGATGAACTTGGGAGCTGCGTGTAATCCATGGCACATATCCTTTCTACCTTGGTTCCAAAGAAAAGCACTTCCCTCTCCCTCAGCAGAGTCTTGGTGAAAAGAAGCTGGTATTCTTCTGTTTCCACAGTTCCAAAATTCTCTGGATCTGCATTATCAATCAGAACATCATTTCTAAAATGTGCCAAAAGAAGCATATTGACTCTGTACTAGGCAGAACCTTGGGGCCACAAACCTTAATCCTACATCTCAGATTATAGCCTTTGGTAAATGTAAATGATAAGAGGGAGAGAGATTCTCTAAGGGTTCTGGTGAGCCATCTCACCTGAGTAGAGAGCAGAGGGTTACAGACAAGTCTCTGTGGTGATAATGAGGCCTGAGGCAAGAGTTTACCTCCTGCGTGGCTAGGGGTCAGGCTTCTGTATCATGGGTTCAGGAGCCCTCCTCGCTACTAGCCAGACATCCTTCAGATAACCTATCTAATGTGAGCCAAATGAGTAATGGGGGTGGTGGGAGGCCGATCGGCCTCTGGGACATCACTTGTAGTGGTCAAAAGTACCTCTCATTGGAGGAGTGGCAGTCCTGGGGACTAATGGCCTTGAGACTAACTGTAAGCCCCAGGTAGAGAGAGAGAGAAGTTAGAACTGGCCCTCAGGGACAAAGATTATAAATTTTTCCCTTATCAAACTTAGTAATTCTCTCTGTGTCTCTCTATTTGTGTGTGTGCATGAGATGGAGATCACTAATATAATTGAAAACTAACTATTTATTTTCTCAGACTTTCCTAGAGTATTGAGAATTATCAGCTGACTGCTTTTGCATGCTAGAAAATTCCAAGATGTCTGTCTTGAAATCTTCTCATACACTCTAATCTCTGAGCTATCACAACAATCAGCTTGGGACCAAGTTGGCTTCCACCATGCATCTTGTGGTGGAATGTGTCTTGTGTCTTGAATGTTTCCTATGCATGGTGATCTTTCTTCTGCTCCCTCTTACTCTCCTCCTCCTTGTCTTTCTCTTTCTTCATCATCTAGTAACTTTCTGAGAAAGTGTGATGGGATGCAAATGTTTTATGGACTGAAAATGCCTTTCTTGTACCTGCTCACCTGATGGATAGTTTGGCTAAGTATCATATCCCCTTTGTATGGAAATCGTGGGAAGTTAAATGATAAAAGGTTTGTCTAAGTAGAATAGAGAGGAAACTTGAACATTGAGTATTTTTCTTCCACATTCTTAGTTCATTACAACATTGTAAAAAGTCACATTCTGGCTCCTAGTCCCTAGAAGCATTCATGAAAGCAAATAGCCCAGCTAATGAGTTCCCTTGAAGAAGGCAGAGGCAGGGCGGGGTGACAGCACCTGGTGAGATGGACCAGGGTCAGTAAAGGTGGAGAACAGAGGCCCTTTTCTTTCCTTGCTCTTCTCTGTTAATGTGCTAAGACAGCTTCACCTGGCTTGGCAGGTGATGTAGCTGACTACTGAAAATTTCATCTGCCCAAAATAAAGATGTCACTCTGTGATAATTTCCTTGGGAAAACACTGACGATTGTAGCAATTAGCGACCTGGGGGCCTGAGTGCACGGGTCCAGAGCTTGGCAGGTTTGTCCCTGTAACCAAGTAAGCAGGGCCCACTGCTGGGACTGTGTGAGACCACCCTGAGTCTTCATTCCCTGCTATCTGGCTGAACAGGGGTGCTTTCTAGTTCTCCAAGTTCACTGGTAGTGGCTGCCAATTCTAAAACTGATTATAAGAGAGCAATGACGTTGTTGGCACCGCCACACTGCTTAATAAGATCGGATAGGAATGCCTTCTTGTCATTTATAAAGGTACTTTTGAGACTTTTCTTCACTGGTCACTCTAAATTCATGCCAGCACAGGAAAAAATAAAAATAAAACAAAGAAGAATCATGGGGAATTACAAATTTCCTTTGTGTCTTTAAATTTTTTATTTTTTATGTGTGTGCTTGGATTTAGCTTTAATACCCTGCCAGCCTTACAGGTACTTCCTGTGTGCCTTTATATCAAATATGGACTTCATTCCTCACCTTCTTATTTCCTGCAGGCAGATTAGAGTGTTCCGTGCGGATCTCTGGAATGGGAATTCCTTCTTCCTGTCTGATTGCTTCATGGCTTTACAGTGTCCGTTTCAGGGCACAAATGTGGTTTTTCTTCAGGAAGAAAAATCAATTTCCTCTGGACGGAAGAATGGCCCAGGGTTTTTAAGAGCCCCCAGGTTTTTTTTTTTTTTCATTTTTTTAATAAAAGAATATTGTAAAGCTCTATAGACAGTTCCCAAAATAAGCCACTGTACAGCTTCAGGGCTGAACTCTGTGTCAGCCATGGTGAGTCTCCCTCTCTCACTAAGAAGTGTGGTTTTTTTTTTCTTCTGATTGGTTGACTCTGTTCTCTCAAATCTTCAGGTATCCAGATGTACCTCTGCAACAAAGAGCACTATGGCTACCTGCCCATCCCTCTGAAGCCTCACCAGACACTGCAGGAAGAAGTCGAGAACCTCATCCACGTGCAGATAGAAGCAATGAGTGAGTGGTTCAGAACCCAGGGCAACCATGCCTTGTTCATTGTCACAGTAACCAAGCCAGCCATGGCTCTCTTCTTCCCAGCCTGACATTTCATGGCTGTTGTTCTCGGTTGAGGCACAGACTTTCATCTGTCCATGAATTCTTGATTTTTTTTCCCATGATATACAAATATAACATGGTCAGCAGGGTGATGGTGGCAGATGCCTTTAATCCCAGCCCTCTGGCAGCAAAGGCAGAGCATCTCTGGATTGGAGGCCAGCCTGGTCTACAGAGCAAGAACTAGGACAGCCAGAGCTACACAGAGAAATCATGTTTCAAAAACAAACAACTTAAAAAAAACTCCAAATAAGACAAGGTCATTGCTCTCAGGGAGCTTTCTATTTTGGTGAATACATGATTCCAAGAGTAAATGCTTGTCCTACAGAGCAGTAAATGCTGTAATAGTGCGGTGTAAAAATGAATTTAAAACTTATCTTTGCTACTTTCTAATTATATGACTCTGAGCAAGAAACTTCTTTAAGGTTTTGGGGCAGGTGTGTGTGTGTGTGTGTGTGTGTGTGTGTGTGCGTGTTCTAACACAACAACAGCAATTATAACTTCGATTAACAACAGTTTATGATGTAATACATACACATACTGTGCCGAATACCTTTTGTACGCTCTCTCAATAAGCAGCACAAGAACCCCGTGAGGGGAAGCTATTATCCCCAAAGTAAAGTTGAAGAAATTCATGTATAGACGAGTCTACCGTTCTACTGATGGCAGAGTAAGGTTTGAATGAAACATGCTATCTCCGGATGCCACATCCTTAAACGCTGTGTTGTCATTGACACCGAGCCTAGCATAATTTTGGAACTGGTATGTTTAATTATTGGCAGCTGTACATACTGGTGGCCAAAGAAGAGAAGGTAGCTGCTGCATCAGTCCTAGAGAGTGTGGGCAGCAGCTTCCCACAGGGAATCTTTTCTGTGTCCCATCACAGTACAGGTGGGTAGGAGTCGCAGTGGAAAGAGAGGCTGGAAAGGGGCTAGGATCCTAGCAGAAGACCTCTCTAATGACTTAGAAGACATTGGACTGTCCTTGAAGGGTGGGATTTTGAAGGAATTTGAGCTAAGAGATGTCAGGTTGAAATTCAGATGCAGGGAGGTCACTCTCATTCAGGAAAGAATAAACGAGTGGGTCATGAGTCATCAGTGAGTGATGGCCTACACCAGCGCTGAAAGGAACACTTTGGACATTACATGGCAGATTAGGCAGAGGATGGTGAGAATCTGAACTAAAGCAATGGCATAGAAATGGAAAGGAATGTTTAAAATGGAGTGATAGAAATCAAGGTGTAGATAAAAGAAGATGCAGCCGAGAGTTGGCCACAGGTGACTGAGCAACAGTAGAGGTATAGAAAAGTCTTCAGTGTCTAGATGATATCAGCAATCTTCAAAGAAACAGAAGAAAGGTTTTAAAGAAAAACCCACAACTTTATTTTTAAACCCACTGGGTTGGCTGGGAGTACCTGTTTCCCATTCTCTCAGTTATAAATTCCCTTTGCACCGTGTTAGTCTGAGGACACACCGCATCCTAGTAGCTGTTCAGTCGTTCTGACTGATGACTGAGTGGATAAACAGAGGAGTTAAGGAAAGAATAAAGATTAACTCATTTCTTGGACCAGCCCTCAGAAATCTTTTTCCTCTCTTACTCTTTCTCTCTCTCTCTCTCTCTCTCTCTCTCCATCTCTCTCTCTCTCGACCCCTTCTCTGTGAGTGTATGTGTGTGTTCATGTATGTGTATGCAGATATGTCTGAATGTACATATTCCTCTATCGCTCTACGCCTTATTCTTGAGACAGTCTTTTCACTGAACCCAGAGTTCACTGATTGGCCGAGCTGCCTGGCCAGTGAGTGGCTAAGGGAATCTGCCTGTCTCTGCAGTTCTCCCCAGCAGCACTGGGGTTAGAAGCATGCACCATCATGCCTGGATTTTCACCTGGGTTCTGGGATCTGAACTGAGGCCCTCATGATTACATGCAAGACCTTTAGCTACTGAGCCCAATAGCACCTTTGTGAATTTCTTTAATATATGTTGTTTCTGTCTCTTTTCACATATCTGGCCCCAGGGACAAAGTTGCTCTTTTGTTGCCTTGCATCTCGTAGTGCATGACATATGGTTGGGACCAGACAAATGTTTCCTGAATATATGATCAGAAATTTGAATAAATTAATAAGTGAGTGAAAATTGTATTGACAAAGCACTTAACCTAGAGCCAGAAAAATCACCTTGAAAAACCAGGCTTTGTTACTTTGTTACTTTGTTACTTTACTTTAGCTTTGTTTTTGGTTTTTGTTTCTGTTTTTGTTTTTGTTTTTGTAAAGTGACAATAACTAACTTTGAAGTATCCTGAGAGTAATAAATTATATATGTATATAATCAGCTTCATAAAATAATGAACTGTGAAGGGGCCAAGATGGCAGCACCGGGAGAACACCGTGTCTGAGAAGCGGGACAACACACTCCGTGCAGCGACCAGGAGACTGAACTCTGGGCCCTAAAACAACAGCGATCGATCGTGTTTCCCAGGTGAGGGGAGGCTCCCACGGCGTGGGAATCGGTCGGGTCCACTCTCAGCTGCCCAGCCAGAACCCGGAAGAGAACCCGGCAACGCGGGCTGGTGCCGCAAGCCTGCTTGTGCCGATCACTTTCCCTGGCTGATTGGTGGGCACAAGGGTGCCTGAGGCTGAGAGTCCCAGTCGCAAAAAAAAAACCCACGGGGAAGGAAAGTTGCCAGACTGCTCACGGGTCACCCAGTCTTTCCCTGGAAGGTCTCTCCGACCACGGGTACCTGCCGCCATCACAATTGAGCTCCCGCGCCGCGCACTGATTGCAGCTGCGCGCCCAGCTCAAAATCCCTACTCCCTCTTCGGAGGAGGCAGGAGGTGTCCAGCAGAATCTGCCACAGACCACATTGTCTGTACCCCAACCCGAGATCCGGGCTGAGAAAACCCAATCCTTTCGGGCACTCCCCCAAACGCCGCCATCACCCTGCTGCAGCGGAGCAGAAGGATAAAGAGGCGCACAGCGGCTTCACAGTGCCGGAACTCCAGTGCTGCCGGCCGCTCCTAGCAAAAAACTACAGCTCGGGATCTGGGACTGTGGTCATTCTACATGTCCTGAGATTATCCTGGGTCCAGCGCAATAAGGTCTAGCAGCAAGTTCTATCACCGGCGCCCCCCCCCAGCAGAGAAACGCCGCCAGCTCAGGGCTCAGGATCTGACTGAGAAGCCCCAACCCCTGCTGGCACTCCCCTGAGAGCACCTCCATAAGCTCGCCTGAGCAAAGGAGAAGGTCAGAGGGGAAGGACAGAGAGGCAGCCTGCCAAGGACACAGCACCCTCTCTCCAGCGGCCCCTAGCAGAGAAACCCAAGCTCTGGATCTGAGGACACTCAACCCTACCCGGTACTCTCTTGGGATCAGCAAACATAGATTCTACCGCTAGGCTGCTTCTGGCAGAGAGATCTGGGCCCGGGATCTGGGATTGAGTACACTCACCCTAACTCTTTCCCGCGCCACCCAGGGACCAGTCAACATAACCCCTCCTGGCAGAGGGAAAGGACAAAGAGGCAGCACACAGGAAAGGTGGACACCGAGTCCTGCGGCCACAGTGTCACAGACCTGACTGTTAGCCTACCCGTGCACTTCCACAGCAGGACCAAAACAGAGAGTAGTGAGCAAGGGGAACCCCTGTGCATTCCAACTGGTCCTGCAAGAGAGTGAGTGAGCCTTCTAGGGAGAGATTGCCCCAGACCCAGGGCCTCTCCACAGAAGCAACCAGATGAGATCCCTGCCACCCACACTCCTAGTGTGGGCATCAGAGGGATTCTTGGGATAGCGACCCCAACATTGAAGCCTCTGCCTTGCGGGTCCACCAGGGTAATCCAGGCAAACAATCCCTGGATCTCAGTCAGAACTGCGTAATAGTGGCTTGCAGACCACTGCAATAGTCAGAGAATCCGCGCATGCACACTGCGTCCACTAAAAGTGCACTCGAATAGTGCCAGCGTCACATTCTTTACTTAGGCAAAACTGAAAACACAGTGCACACTCCCAAAGCAGTGAACCTCTCTCATCTTCCTGAAAAAACAGTCCAGAAAACAGAAAGAGAGGATCATAGCCCAAACTACAATCTCGAGGAACAACCAGTGAGGATTATAAATAACCAGATAGCTAGAGGCAGACGTAAGAACACTCCCAACAAAAATCAGGACATAATGACCTCACCAGCAACCCCACAAAACAATGGACACTTCAATTCACTAGATATACAAGAAAACGACCTCAAAACTATGTTTCTCCAGCTATTAGAGGCCCATAGAGATGAAATGAATAAAGCCCTCAGAGAAATAACCAAAGAAATCGAGACTAACCAAGAGGAAACAAATCGTGCTCTGAGAGAAATGACCACGAAAATTGAGTCAAACAGAGAAAAAATGTACAAAGCTCTCAAAGAAATGTCCACACAAATGAAGGCAAATAAAGAAGAAATAAACAAAACTCTCATAGAAATACAGGCAATTATACCCAAAGAAGTAGAGGCACAATTAGTGATACATAGAGAGGAAACGGACAAAAAAATAGAAGCTATCATTGAAAAGCAGGAGTCCACATTCAAACAGATGAAGGAAATGGTGCAAGACATGAAAACAGAATTAGAATCAATAAAGAAAACACAAATAGAGAAAAACCAGGAGCTGGAGAACATAGAGAAAAGATCAGGCACTACAAAGGTAAGCATCACCAACAGAATACAAGAGATGGAAGAAAGAATCTCAGGAGCCAAAGATACACTTGCGGAAATTGACACGTCTCTCAAAGAAAAAATAAAATCAGAAAAGTTCCAAACACAAAACATCCAAGAAATCAAGGACACCATGAAAAGACAAAACCTAAGAATAATAGGAGTAGAAGAAAAAGAAGATATCAGGCTCAAAGGTCCGGAAAATATTTTCAAG